CTCCAGAGGCGGATATGCAATATAATTGGCCCTGTTCTGGCATCTCGTCTACAGTCGCTCTCTCACAGATGCGCCGTCGCCTCTCTCTGTCTTTTTTTTACAAATAACCCGGATATAATAGACCCGGATATAAGAGAAACCCGGATATAAGAGCGATTTTCTCTGGTCCCAAATTAGAGCCTGTGTTAATGTATATAAAATAGACCAAACCCGGATATAAGAGAAACCCGGATATAAGAGACTTCGTCTCCGGTCCCGACAACTCTCTTATATCCGGGTTACACTGTACTTTCATGGTAATTGCTCCGAGGAGCTGCATTCCCAGACTTCTTGAATTCAAGCGTCCTACAAGGCTGGCATCCCGCTCTCACCCTTTTACTGTCGAAACTATTAAATGTAGCCGTCTCTTCTACTCCAATAGCTTCATATCTCGTACCTCTCCCCTCTGGAACTCGCTTCCCTATTCCAGTTTCCCTGAGAGCTATAATCTTCAACGATTCAAATATAATGTCAATTGACATCTTCAGTTGCTTGATCTATCCACTATCCTTCTCCTCATCCTTTCCTCTATCACTCCTATCTGATCTTGCTCCAAATCTTCTGTAACCCCTTGCATGCTAGTGGCTTCCCGCCTTGCTTGGGGTGAAAGGCTTTAAGAAAAAAAAATTCAATTTTCTCTTTTTGTTTCTAATTATTTGTCCTTATTTCCATTTCCCTAAAATGTTGTTGTTGCTCATATGTTCCGTTCATGGTATTCTCAGCATCTTTCTGTAGAACCACATTTCTGATGCTTCAAGTTTCTTCTTCCGCTGTGAGGATAATGTCCAGTATTCAGGGGTGGGGATGATATTATATTACTGCTTAGCACACTTTTCTTTTTTTTAACGAAATTTTCCTGTTTTTTAATACTCTGCTTAGCTTTTGGAATACCAAAACAATAGATTAGGAGTGAGAGAGAGAGAGAGAGAGAGAGAGAGAGAGAGAGAGAGAGAGAGAGAGGAGTAATAAAAAATAAACAAACTATAAAATAAAAATAAAATAAACTATTAAAATAGGTATTAAAATGGCTGTTCCCTAAACCCTATAAAATTTCTTAATGTTTATAGTAGGACAAGATAAACATCAAAATCGAAGAAGTGCATTTTGGAACAAAACCAGGTCACTAAACACCCCAACGTTCTCATCTAAGATTGTTTTGACAATTTCTGACAAACACATCTACAGTGTGTTCCTCACCTAAAGTGTACTCACTTTTTGTTTTCCTATAATTTCTTGATTTTTTTTTTCCAGATCCATACATTTAATTTCATTTAATATTTAATTTAAACCGTTAGTCTTCTTTGATATTCGATAAACATTAATATTTCTTCGTTTTAAATATTAACCTTGTTTGTAAGTCAATAAACACTGCATTTATTGTCATTATAAAGAGTGAGGACATTTAGGGCGGCAACCTGTACATTATAAAAGAACCAACATTTTGTCCGTCACACGCTTACGTGCAAATGCCCTTGGGAAATGTATGAATCCATCTCCAAGTGTGATGGATTCATTCGGCTCGAAATGAGGAATCGCAGAGCCGGGTACGACTTTCAGTCGGGTTTTCACTTACGCGCAAATACTCATAGTTAATGTCTGCATCCATCTTTTCTCCTCTCCCCTAGCAATGAGTTGAATAGCAGCATAGATTGGTTATCAACCAAGGCTATAGGACCCAATCTATCACAGAGAGAAACAGTAACCTACTGCGGGAAAATCTTCTACCTAGTCAGTCATGAAATAAAAAAGACATAGTCGTCCAAGCGTATATCACACAACTGACTGATGTATATACGTATCTTTTGGTTACCTACATCATTATCATTGTTCTTTCACTATTATACTTCATCATAATTAGATATTTCGTTAATTTGACCCTTTTTATGAGTAAACATTAGAATACTGATTTGTAGAGAGGGTCAAGCAGATGAATTTTCAGCGACTCCTCGCATATATTCGCGTGCTTGAACATGTTCTTTGCTGTTGCTATCTGGAATCAAACGTACAGACTCTCTGAGTGCAATAATTGTAATAATTACATTGGAAATAGGTGTTTCACTAAGGACATTCGAGATGGACGGTTGTTCAGATTCCTGACAGCGAACTACGATAGATCGATATATGTTAGTCGGGCTGGTTAGATCTCCATTGATTGCTTGTCGATGTAAAATTATTCTTAGAATCTTAGACAACCGTCATTTCAGTGAAACGTCTTTGACTCCATATCCGTTTAAGTAGCTACATTTTGCAATTGCCGAATAAAAGACATTTTTCGACGCCAACTTTTTTCCCTTTCACCCTAAATGAAGGAAACAGAGAGAGAGAGAGAGAGAGAGAGAGAGAGAGAGAGAGAGAGAGAGAGAAATGTTGACGGAGAAATGGAGAGAGACTATGTTGTACGTATTTCTGTTTTATTTATCAAATCTAGCCTTGCCTCTTTTTGTTTTTTTTCTCTCTTTTTTCTCCATCCATCTCTCTCTCTCTCTCTCTCTCTCTCTCTCTCTATATATATATATATATATATATATGTATATAATATTAGTGGTAAATATACACATGCATATGCAATCATTTTTGAATTTGTAGGAATAAATTCCAATGGAATAAATTATGACCATGGAATATTAGTGTTTAAACACTAATATTCCATGGTCATAATTTATTCCATTGAAATCGTAAATACGATCCAATTCGTCAGACCTACAAATTCGAAAATGATTGCATATGCATGTGTATATTTACCACTAATATTAAATTATAACTTTTAAAGATCAAAGTTGGGTAAAAAGTTTGGAAGAGAGAGAGAGAGAGAGAGAGAGAGAGAAAGAGAGAGAGAGAGAGAGTTTCACAAACGAGAAAAAACTGTTAGCATAGAATATATATATATATATATATATAGCGAGAGAGAGAGAGACGGGTAGAATGACAAATCTAGACCAGATAGAAAGAGATATTAAGAGAGCGATAGAAATGCAGAGGGAGAGAGTGGAGAAGTAAAGTGAGAGAGAGAGGGTAGTTTAACAAAAAATGAAGTATGTCGTTCGTATTTTATCTCTCTATTCTAGCCTTGTCTCTCTATGTCTCTGTTTCTATCTCTCTCTCCACACCCACACACACACACACACATATATATATATATATATAATAAAATGTATGTGTATATTTACCACTAATATTATCTCTCTCTCTCTCTCTCTCTCTATATATATATATATATATATATATATATATATATATATAAAGAGAGAAACAGCGATACGACGAGAATTGATAGAAAGAAATAAGAGGGCGGTAGAAAAAGAGAGGAAGGAGGAAGTAAGGAGAGAGGTGGAAAAAAGGTTGACAGAAAATGGCCTCTCTGTCGGTGTCTCTCTCTGTGTAGAGAGCAATATATATATATATATATATATATATATATATATATATATATATATATATATATATATATATACATTGTGTCTAGTATGAAACAGCCTGTCGCCGCTGAGTGTTGGCTTCAATGTTCACTTTTATATTTATATTCTCATACGCTCTATCTCTGATATTGAGGACTTTATCCCATAAATATAGCACACCTTAGAACTATATTTCTTTAGAGAGAGAGAGAGAGAGAGAGAGAGAGAGAGAGATAGATAGATAGAGAGAGAGAGATAAGTCGCAAATAGATAAGAATATTAAGAGAAAAAGGGAAGTGAAAAAAGAGAGAGGGAGAAACGGAAACAGAATAGACTGTTAATTATTTCTTTTTGTGCCTATATTTTCTCAAAATCGTAGATTAGATTACTTAGAGGTACAACGGATAGGAACTTGGGGAGAGCCATGATCACTGACGTCTTGAAGGGATACGACTCATTTTGCCTTTTGTATTTATATTTTCTCAAACTAATAGTTTATACTACTTAGAACTACAAAGGATAGGAAGATGTGGAAAGCCATGACCACCAACACCCTGAAGGGACACAGCGTATAGAATGATAATAATAATAATAATAATAATAATAATAAGAAGAAGAAGAAGAAGAAGAAGAAGAAGAAAGTATTTTGTCGGCACAAAAGTTAATGAAATGCGTTTTCTTTTCTTCTTTTTTTTTAAAAAAATTAAATTTACCCCAAGCAAAGCAGTAAAACGACTAAGTCACAATGGGTCACTGGGTGTAAAGAATTAGAAAACAGATAACGTTATGAATCAGCGGGTACAATAGAAGAGTAATCAGGAAGATAGATAACGATTGACATTGCATTTAAATTTTTGAAGATCAAAGTTGGGTGAAGAGAGAGAGAGAGAGAGAGAGAGAGAGAGAGAGAGAGAGAGAGAGAGAGTTTCATAAACGAGAAGTGCGAGAAAAAAAAACTGTTAGCATAGAATTCATTGTTCCATCTAACCACTTCAATGAAACCTTGATGCCATTCTAGTACTGTGCTTAAATTCATAAAGTTTATGTACCATAGCTAAGAGCTCATCCGACCGATTACCATGAAAGTATTTCTTGAAAAGACTCAGAGAAGCAACCTTACGGCGGCGGAAAAGTGACAGAAGTCGAGAAGCCAGATCAAGACCAAAAATATTGCTGATTCTCGTTTTGATTTTATCAAAATTTCTAAACAAATTTCACGCGCATCGGACCAAATCTGGCAGCAGTATTCTGTGCATGGATAAATGGTAAACTTACTGATATGTAAGATGGATTCTGGAGAGAAATATTGCCTAGAACGACAGAGTGGACCAACTTTCTTAGCAGCTGACCTAGCAATGGATTCAATATAGTCTTTCTACTTCATGTCAGCCGAGAATATTAACCCGAGAAAGGGCAACGAATTACTTTCCTGGATGTTAGCATCAGCCACGCTGATAGAAGGAAGGAATGGATCTCTCAGATGATTAACAGAGAGCAGTTTAGTTTGACTTTCAGGGAAAAAATTACTCCATCTGTACCAACAACCTGGAAAAGCTCTTCAAGAATATGAAAAGCAAGCGATCATCATTATTTAGAATACTACTATCTTCAGGTTTAATGGAAGGTTTGAAAAACGAAATAACGCCTAAGTATACAGCAAATCATTTACAACCCAATGCCAATACTCATGTATCGTACGTCTGTATGTATGTAAGTATGTTGGAAGGTAGGTAGATAGTGAGTAAGCGACTCTAAAGAATAATCGAGATGGAAAGTGAGTGAAAGTCTAGCAATACCGGAAGAGAGGGATTTGACATGGCGTAATATTAGACCAATTCAGATAACTTTTAAATTAAGTCCTTGATTCTGGCTTGTCGGCATTTTGAAATTTATAGCTTCTGTCAGTTTTTCTAGCGACATTTGCCATGAAGGAAAAAATATGTAATACAAAATATACACTTGTGATTAAGAAATACCGAATATAATCGGCCATCATATTTCTTTCTTTCTTTCTTCTTTCTTTCTTTCTTTCAGAATCGTCCATCGTATTTCTTTCTTTTTTTCTTTTTTTCTTTCGTCCGTTCCTTCGTTCATTCATCCTTTTTCTTTCTTTCTTTCTTTATTTCTTTCTTTCTTTCTTTCTTTCAGAATCGTCCATCGTATTTCTTTCTTTCTTTTTTTTTCTTTCGTCCGTTCCTTCGTTCATTCATCCTCCTTTCTTTCTTTTTCTTTCTTTCTTTCTTTCTTTTCTTTCTTTCTTTCTTTCAGAATCGTCCATCGTATTTCTTTTTCTTTTCTTTTTTTTTTTTTTTTTTCTTTCGTCCGTTCCTTCGTTCATTCATTCTTTTTCTTTCTTTCTTTCTTTCTTTCTTTCTTTCTTTCTTTCAGAATCGTCCATCGTATTTCTTTCTTTCTTTTTTTCTTTTTTTCTTTCGTCCGTTCCTTCGTTCATTCATCCTTTTTCTTTCTTTCTTTCTTTCTTTCTTTCTTTCAGAATCGTCCATCGTATTTCTTTCTTTCTTTTTTTTTCTTTCGTCCGTTCCTTCGTTCATTCATCCTCTTTCTTTCTTTCTTTCTTTCTTTCTTTCTTTCTTTCTTTCTTTCAGAATCGTCCATCGTATTTCTTTCTTTCTTTTTTTCTTTTTTTCTTTCGTCCGTTCCTTCGTTCATTCATCCTCCTTCTTTCTTTCTTTTTCTTTTCTTTCTTTCTTTTTCTTTTCTTTCTTTCTTTCAGAATCGTCCATCGTATTTCTTTTCTTACTTTTTTTTTTTTTTTTTCTTTTCGTCCGTTCCTTCGTTCATTCATCCTCCTCCTTTTTTTCTTTCTTTTCTTTCATTCTTTTCTTTCTTTCATTCAGAATCGTCCATCATATTTCTTTTTTTTCTTTTTTTTTTTTTTCTTTTTTTCTTTCGTCCGTTCCTTCGTTCATTCATCCTCCTTCTTTCTTTCTTTCTTTCTTTCTTTCTTTCTTTCTTTCTTTCAGAATCGTCCATCATATTTCTTTCTTTCTTTTTTTTTCTTTTTTTCTTTCGTCCGTTCCTTCGTTCATTCATCCTCCTTCTTTCTTTCTTTCTTTCTTTCTTTCCTTCTTTCTTTCTTTCTTTCTTTCAGAATCGTCATTCATATTTCTTTCTTTCTTTTTTTTTCTTTTTTTCTTTCGTCCGTTCCTTCGTTCATTCATCCTCCTTCTTTCTTTCTTTCTTTCTTTCTTTCTTTCTTTCTTTCAGAATCGTCCATCGTATTTCTTTTTTTTTTTTTTTTTTTTTTTTTTTTTTTCGTCCGTTCCTTCGTTCATTCATCCTCCTTTTTTTTTCTTTCTTTCTTTCTTTCTTTCTTTCTTTTCTTTCTTTCTTTCAGAATCGTCCATCGTATTTCTTTTTTTTTTTTTTTTCTTTTTTTTTTTCGTCCGTTCCTTCGTTCATTCATCCTTTTTTTTCTTTCTTTCTTTCAGAATCGTCCATCGTATTTCTTTCTTTCTTTTTTTTTCTTTCGTCCGTTCCTTCGTTCATTCATCCTCCTTCTTTCTTTCTTTCTTTCTTTCTTTCAGAATCGTCCATCGTATTTTTTTCTTTCTTTTTTTCTTTTTTTCTTTCGTCCGTTCCTTCGTTCATTCATCCTCCTTCTTTCTTTCTTTCTTTCTTTCTTTCTTTCTTTCTTTCTTTCGTTCTTTCTTTCTTTCAGAATCGTCCATCGTATTTCTTTCTTTCTTTTTTTCTTTCGTCCGTTCCTTCGTTCATTCATCCTTCTTTCTTTCTTTCTTTCTTTCTTTCTTTCTTTCTTTCTTTCAGAATCGTCCATCGTATTTCTTTCTTTCTTTTTTGTTTGTTTGTTTCTTTTTTTCTTTCTTCTTCCTTTCTTTCGTCCGTTCCTTCGTTCATTTATCCTCCTTCCTCCTTTCTTTCTTTCTTTCTTTTATTTGTTCGTTCATTTATTCATCTTTGACGCCTTCCTTTCTTTTGTTCGTTCATTCTTCGTTCTTTTTTCTTTGATGTAACCTCTCTTTCTTTTCTTATCGCTAATATATTTTTCCTTCTTTCTTTCGTTCAACTTCGATGTAGTTCTTTCTTTTGCTCGTTAATCCGTTCTTTCTTTCTTTCTTTCTTTCTTTCTTTCTTTCGTTCTTTCTTTCTTTCTTTCTTTCTTTCAGAATCGTCCATCGTATTTCTTTCTTTCTTTCTTTTTTTCTTTTTTTCTTTCGTCCGTTCCTTCGTTCATTCATCCTTTTTCATTCTTTCTTTCTTTCTTTCTTTCTTTCTTTCAGAATCGTCCATCGTATTTCTTTCTTTCTTTTTTTCTTTTTTTCTTTCGTCCGTTCCTTCGTTCATTCATCCTTTTTCTTTCTTTCTTTCTTTCAGAATCGTCCATCGTATTTCTTTCTTTCTTTTTTTTTCTTTCGTCCGTTCCTTCGTTCATTCATCCTCCTTCGTTCTTTCTTTCTTTCTTTCTTTCTTTCTTTCTTTCAGAATCGTCCATCGTATTTCTTTTTTTCTTTTTTTCTTTCGTCCGTTCCTTCGTTCATTCATCCTCCTTCTTTCTTTCTTTCTTTCTTTCTTTCTTTCTTTCTTTCTTTCTTTCTTTCAGAATCGTCCATCGTATTTCTTTCTTTCTTTTTTTCTTTTTTTCTTTCGTCCGTTTCTTCGTTCATTCATCCTCCTTTCTTTCTTTCTTTCTTTCTTTCTTTCTTTCTTTCAGAATCGTCCATCATATTTCTTTCTTTCTTTTTTTTTCTTTTTTTCTTTCGTCCGTTCCTTCGTTCATTCATCCTCCTTCTTTCTTTCTTTCTTTCTTTCTTTCTTTCTTTCTTTCTTTCAGAATCGTCCATCGTATTTCTTTCTTTCTTTTTTGTTTGTTTGTTTCTTTTTTCTTTCTTCTTCCTTTCTTTCGTCCGTTCCTTCGTTCATTTATCCTCCTTCCTCCTTTCTTTCTTTCTTCCTTTCTTTTGTTCGTTCATTCTTCGTTCTTTTTTCTTTGATGTAACCTCTCTTTCTTTTCTTATCGCTAATATATTTTTCCTTCTTTCTTTCGTTCAACTTTGATGTAGTTCTTTCTTTTGCTCGTTAATCCGTTCTTTCTTTCTTTCTTTCTTTCTTTCTTTCGTTCGTTCATCCGTTCGTTCATTTGTTCATTCATCTTTATTTATTTTTTGATATCTTTCTTTCTTTTTTCTTATCGTTAATGTCTTTTTCTTTATTTCGCACAGCTTTGATATCGTTCTTTCTTAACTTCGTTCGAGCATTGTGTTTTTCTTTTCATTTATTTCCTTTTTCCATATTTGCTCATAATTTATTTGCACTAATTCGATACCTTATCCCTGTATTACCTTGTCTATCAACTTTCCCCTTGAATTCAGTTTGTTCCTTAATTCATTCTTATTCTTGCTATTCAACGAAAGACTTTAAGAAACAAAGAAAAGAATAAAGAGCTGATCCTAAGTCACGATTTTTCGTCTATGAAACAAATCTTAAACCTTATCAAAGATTCTTTCTATTTAAAAAAAAAATCCAAATTCATATTCTTCATACTATCGTCGAAGAACCATCAATATAGAACACCCGAATCCATTCAACTGGAGTTTCAATTTCCTTCACAATTCTACTGGTACCTCAGAGTAAATTTGTTTTGTCGACTTAATCAAACAAAATCTCCGAAGGACACACGTATCAATGAAGACAAGATTGCTTCAATTTCATGCTTTCAATTTGTATATTGATTAAACGTTGAGATTAGAAACGAATTTATTGGTTGAAATTTTATCTGGGCTTTTAAAATGAGTTGTTGATAATAGTTCATAATTTGTGTCCATTCTTTCCTTTGCCGATTTTTCCATTACAATTTTTCAGCTTTCTTTGGCTGACATATTGTTCAGCGTCAAGTTTGTTATCACTTACTTTCTTTTGTAAGAGGGGGGTGCAGAAAAGTTCTCGTTACCACTTAAAAAAAAAAATCAGATGTTGTGTTAGATTTTGGGAACTTGATTTGTATAAGGTTGTTGCAGCAAAACCCCGTGAAAGACGATGTGTGTTAATGCGACGTGATATAAAAATATCCCCCACCCCGCCAAAAAAAAAAAAACTTATTGAGATTTTGGAAGATTTAGTGTCATAACATTATACAGAAGATTCATCACTCAATACAGAAATATTACAAAGATTAAGTATCTATCTATCTATCTATCTATCTATCTATCTATCTATCTATCATCTCTCAGTTAATCTATCTATCTATCTATCTATCTATCTATCTATCTATCTATCTATCTATCTATCTATCTGTTGATATTCATCTATCTATCTATCTATCTATCTATCTATCTATCTCAGTCTGTTGATATCTATCTATCTATCTATCTATCTATCTATCTATCTATCTCTGTCTGTTAATATCTATCTATCTATCTATCTATCTATCTATCTATCTATCTATCTATCTATCTACAATGATGTTCACTCTGTACGAGGCCCATGAGGGTTACAGTGCAAGAGGTGCAGTTTATGGATATATGTGAGGAAGATAATGGTTAACCCTAGACTTGAACAGGTTATTTTGCAGTGATCTGGGTAAGCATCCTCTTGGGAGTCGGTTTCACAAAGTAGCGGTTCGTGAAAAGATGCTGCTCGCGTGGAACTTATATCTCACCAATGGAATACGAAGGGAATGAAGGTGGTTAGCTACAATGGGCGTGGCATGGCGAGTTTTAGCCGTGAAGTTTAGTACTAGATAGTTCGTCTTAACACTTTTCATGGAAATAGCAATGTCCATGGAATTCTCAGCATCCTTCTGTAGAATCACATTTCTTTGGCTTCAAGTATTTTAATTTGTGATGTGATTGTCCAATATTCACTGCCACATAGAAAGAGCGCTTCTTATATTTGTTTCTCAACAAATAACTATATTGCTAAAATGCAGTAAAAGGTACACCTTCGTGCAATTGCTAGCAGGTTGGTCTTGCATACATTTTGTATTAAGTTCGATTCTCACCCGGTGTCCCATACTTGTGTTGTTTTGCCCAAAGTTAGTTATGCTTTACGTATAAGTAGGGACTCATCAGTGTGAGATAATAATGAACGGATCTAGTCTGGTTTACTATTACAACTGAGTAGTCATCGAGTGATCCAAACTTGTACCTAAACTTAGCTAAGTTTCGTATTTAACGGATATAGCAAAGAATATACATACAAAGTAAGATTTCAGGAATTTGATTAGGAAGACACCTTTACAGGTAGTTGTTAGATGAATTTTGATCTGAAACTTTTACCGTATACGAAAGTGCATCAATTAGTCTGTACCATAACACGTAGTTTTTTTATATTCTTATGCTCACTTAATACAAGGCCAAAGGGCCGCTCAAGGTAGAAGGTTACTGTTTGGTGTTGTATGTGCTCAAAAAGGACAAGAAATGAAGTTCATGGGGTTATACAGGAAAGATAACAGTTAAATCTAGACTTGAAGAGGTTAAGATTATAGTGATTGGGAAAGCATCCTGTCGGGAGTCTATTCCACAAAGAAACAGTTCATGGGGGGAATCTGTCTGAAAGGAAGATACTCTTTACTAAAGGAATACGAAGGAAATGGGGGTGATTCATACTTGTGTACGCGGCATGGCGTGTCCCAGTGGTAAAGGTCATGGGTGTTGGGACTAAGGAATATGAGTTGTCAGAACGCATACCATGGAAATAGCAACAGGGCAGAGAGAAGCTCGCAACGTTTCGTCTCTGGGAAAGGGATTATAGGGTGGAAAATAATTATCCCCCGACAAGACCGCAGATAGACTTTTGAACTCTATCAAGACAGGCAAGTGGGGACTAAGCAACTCCAACAAAGATATAGCAGAGATACTCCATTTTTGGTCTGTTCTGTCTCTTGTAAAGTTCGAGTATAGCAGGGCGGAGTCAGATAAACACTGGAAGAGTACAATGAACCGTCCTTTTTTTTTCCCAGCATCTTTAGCAATAAATCGGGTATATAAGTTCAACTTGAGCTCCAGGCAGAACTTTGAGCCCCAATAGACTTTCAAAACAAGGAGCATCCTTGAGAGGACACCTATCGATCATGATAGGTAAAAGTTTGGGATCTGCTCGGTGGTGCTGGAACGTTGCTAGTTTGGTTTTGGTACTATTCAATTTTATAAGCCAGTCCTTCTTGCATTGAGTCTCCTGGCTAGGTGAGGGGAGATGAGCTGTTAGGTTCTAATCTTCCAGATGTTTGAGGTGCATCTATATACTGTTGTATTACCCGTCTAGATACCGACTATTAATATGCTCTTAGACACGTCATTAATATACAGTATAAAGATGGGGACACCTCGAGGTGGTATAATGGTTAGTAAGCTTGTCTCGCTAGAACAATTACGGCTGAGTAGTGAGTTCGATTCTCACTGGGTGCCTCCCCCCCACTAATTTCGGCCTTGTACCACATCTAAGCTATGCTTGGAAAATCACTACAGTATAAAGATGGTAGATATTGTCCTCATCAAATATGTTTTAATTAAATATACAGTGTAACCCGGATATAAGAGAAACCCGGATATAAGAGAAACCCGGATATAAGAGATTTTCTCTGGTCCCAAATTAGAGCCTGTGTTAATGTAAACAAAATAGACCAAACCCGGATATGACAAACCCGGATATAAGAGAAACCCGGATATAAGAGATTTTCTCTGGTCCCAAATTAGAGCCTGTGTTAATGTAAACAAAATAGACCAAACCTGGATATGACAAACCCGGATATAAGAGAAACCCGATATAAGAGATTTTCTATGGTCCCAAATTAGAGCCTGTGTTAATGTAAACAAAATAGACCAAACCGGATATGACAAACCCGGATATAAGAGAAACCCGGATATAAGAGATTTTCTATGGTCCCAAATTAGAGCCTGTGTTAATGTAAACAAAATAGACCAAACCCGGATATGACAAACCCGGATATAAGAGAAACCCGGATATAAGAGATTTTCTCTGTTTCCCAAATTAGAGCCTGTGTTAATGTAAACAAAATAGACCAAACCCGGATATGACAAACCCGGATATAAGAGAAACCCGGATATAAGAGATTTTCTATGGTCCCAAATTAGAGCCTGTGTTAATGTAAACAAAATAGACCAAACCTGGATATGACAAACCCGGATATAAGAGAAACCCGGATATAAGTGATTTTCTATGGTCCCAAATTAGAGCCTGTGTTAATAAACAAAATAGACCAAACCCGGATATGACAAACCCGGATATAAGAGAAACCCGGATATAAGTGATTTTCTATGGTCCCAAATTAGAGCCTGTGTTAATGTAAACAAAATAGACCAAACCCGGATATGACAAACCCGGATATAAGAGAAACTCGGATATAAGAGATTTTCTATGGTCCCAAATTAGAGCCTGTGTTAATGTAAACAAAATAGACCAAACCGGATATGACAAACCCGGATATAAGAGAAACCCGGATATAAGAGATTTTCTATGGTCCCAAATTAGAGCCTGTGTTAATGTAAAGAAAATAGACCAAACCCGGATATGAGGATATAAGAGAAACCCGGATATAAGAGATTTTCTATGGTCCCAAATTAGAGTCTGTGTTAAAAACAAAATAGACCAAACCCGGATATGACAAACCCGATATAAGAAACCCGGATATAAGAGAATGGTCCCAAATTAGAGCCTGTGTTAATGTAAAGAAAATAGACCAAACCCGATATGACAAACCCGGATATTATAAGAGATTTTCTATGGTCCCAAATTAGAGCCTGTGTTAATGTAAACAAAATAGACCAAACCCGGATATGACAAACCCGGATATAAGAGAAACCCGGATATAAGAGATTTTCTATGGTCCCAAATTAGAGCCTGTGTTAATGTAAACAAAATAGACCAAACCCGGATATGACAAACCCGGATATAAGAGAAACCCGGATATAAGAGATTTTCTCTGGTCCCAAATTAGAGCCTAATAAACAAATAGACCAAACCCGATATGACAAACCGGATATAAGAGAAACCCGGATATAAGAGATTTTCTCTGGTCCCAAATTAGAGCCTGTGTTAATGTAAACAAAATGACAAACCCGGATATAAGAGAAACCCGGATATAAGAGATTTTCTCTGGTCCCAAATTAGAGCCTGTGTTAATGTAAACAAAATAGACCAAACCCGGATATAAGAGAAACCCGGATATAAGAGACTTCTCCGGTCCCGACAACTCTCTTATATCCGGGTTACACTGTACATTGTAAAGTTGGTACTTGAAATTTTTATTTCTTACAGAGTACTTTCATAAAACAGTTTTATACACATATGTTAGATACGCGGTAGTTGAAATTACTGACACATCTATATAATAAATGCGATGTCAGTGTGTCACCCTTTTTCAAATTTACTCCGAGAGACTGTAGCGCAACATATCGTACCATTTTGGCATCAGGCCGACATCGTGAGCAAATTAAAAACTTTCCGGACTGGATTCGAACCCACAATCCTGAAATTTTGAATTCTCAAGTTTTCATTACTGCTATTTTTTTTTTACGTGATTTTTGCGACGAATAGTTTTGTTCGATAACAATTTTTTATAACTTGGAAATACATTTGGGAATAATCGAAATTAATTGCGAAAGTCACATATGAAATAGAAATAGTTGTTCATACGGAAATTAAAGACCTGCGTACATCAAATTGTCTTTAAATTCATTGGCGACAGAAGAATTATCGTTGACCCTTGAAAAGGTAAGCTTAAATATTAATGCAATACTTAAATGCAGTGATCAGTTTTGAGTTCTTCTGTAGTTTATTGTTGCATATCGCATCTACTCCTCCTTACCTATTGTGATGAAGGCCTAAATGAAGAGCCCTCCGCAAGAGCTAGCTTAAATGCAGCCCGATAGGTCGGCTTTTAAGCTAGTTATATATACATTAAAATCAAGAACAGTATTAAATAAATAGAAGGTATTCAATTAAATATTGTAATTTGAATTCTCGACACATCTTTATCGTTGTCACTTGTATCAGCGAAGATTGAAAGCAAAATATAGAATTATCCAATGCAACAAAAACTTGAGAAACGTTATCGACTTTATCAGCCGTAATGGGTTGATTTGTTTTTTTTTTTACGATATATCAATCCTTTTGCTGTTATTTAATGTCGAAATCTGTTTTTTTTTAAACATATTTGAATATATAAGCATCTACTTAGTTCGGGTATAAGTAAATAATATATAAGTCTATAAACCTTTATTTGGTTTGGGAATAGGCCAATAGGGGTTGTCTATATATGAGTCTATAAGCCTTTACTTG